AAACTGAATATCCCAGAGGATTGTTGTGGGAAATTGTGGCCTCCTCTTTCTGACATTTTATTAATTAAGGAAAAAAGGGATTGTGAATATAAATATAATGTTAAATAAATATCTGCCTGATACATAATTAAATAAAAAAACGTTTGATTTTGACGAAAGAAAACTCGTTAAAAACATTCACCACCACCCTGGGAACTGTTTGAGTCCCTGTCGTTAAATATTTTATCGGCCCACACAGAATGTGCTGATCAATATCAGTATGATTTACGCACAACATTGAAAAAAATGAGAACTAGAAATTCTATTGCTGCTGATAGTCTGACGCTCAGTGAGACCTAACCCGTCATTCAATTACAGGTAAATCTAATCTTGTCATATTCATGCATTAACCATCCAGGACGCCAGATCAGGGTACCGGAAGATACTAACCGAGTCTGCCAGGAAGCTGAACGCTCAGAGCTCTCAGCTGGGCGGCTGCATAGAGAAAGCGAGACCGTACTACGAAGCTCGCCGCCTTGCAAAAGAGGTAAACACAACCAATATACAGAATGTGTTTGAAGTGCTGTGTGAGTGAATGTGTGAATCGTAGATGCAGGAATCACACACATGCCTTGCTTTAATGCTTGATGATGGGCGTGCCGGATGCTTGGTGCGGTTGTCATAACGACAACAAAGTGTCCCTGGGCGAGACGCTGACCTAAACCTGTTCCTGAGGGCTGTGCCGGCGGAGCGTGAACGATCTGTGATAGACGAAGCACCGTGCATAGAGCCGCTGAATAAATGTGTGTGTGAATTGGTGATTGTGACTTGTGCTGTAAAGCACTTTGGGAAATTGCAATATAAATGCGGTCTCTTCACCCGTTGGTTGGGTTCGTGTTCAGCACTTAAATGCATCTTGGGCTGAAGTAATCACAAGTGGAAAGCTCTCAAATTCAGGAGGAACTCCCAAAACACATTGCAGAAAAAAACAGAATCCAATTGTTGAGGTTAGCAAACGGAAGGAGGTCGGGGATAAATCTGTCTGAATACGTAGTTCAGTCTCACTGTGGATTTTCCCAAATTGTTTTCAGTGTGTACACAGCTGTATTATTCCCCTACATCATACATTCTGTTGTGTGTGTACATATATGTGTTGATAGATGATGACAGGTTAAACAAATGTTTTCAGCCTTCAATCCTTCAGCCGTGTCTTCTGATGCTGTTCAAACCTGGTATTAACATACGTCCTGAGAGATCCTCTAACCTGCTGCAGTTTCACAATGAATTCAAAGTATTTTTAACGTTTCTCCATCTTTCCCATACACTGAATTATTTGAAGCCGGCACCAGAATGTCCGCACTCACCCACACACAAAGATTTTCTTTCTTCTGAAATGGGTGAAATCTCCTCCTGGCTCTGCTCTCTCTCTCTCTCTCTCTCTCTCTCTCTCTCTCACTCCGTCTTACACTGACACACTCATAAACACATCGACCTCAAACGTATCTTAATAGTCAGGAGTCGAGGAAGTGAGGCCTGATCACAGGAGAAGAGAGGAGACACCTCCAGGACACATTTGAATCCTCGATATGAACAGGAGAAGTTAAATCCGTTCACTTGGGATCAAATGACCGGATTGATTTGAATACCAGGTCTCAGCAGAGTCACTGAGTGTGTCCCTCCTCCTCCGTCATCACTGGTGACTGTATTTTTCTCAATGTAGAAGTAAATCTGAGCAGGGAAGAGAAATCTGATCACAGCTGGTCATTCAATATGCATGTGATGTTCCTTCCAATGCCAGGTGTGAACTGTAATCCATCTTAACCTGATGGAGGCCTACACACAATCTGGATACGAGACACTTGCTTTCTCCCTGTCGGAGCGTTATCTGCGTGAGATTAGCCTCATGGGAAATCAGAAACAGTTTTATATATATAAAGAATTCTACCGTTTTTTCTTTTCCCTCTTGAATATGTTATTGGCCTGACGGGTTTACTTGATTTACAAACACGGGTCGACAGATATTAGATTTTAATTGGGATTAACAGAATGGGTCGTGTGCTTGTCACGTTCAACCTGTGAAGACTGTAAAACCTCTGTCTGCTCTCTGTAGGCACAGCAGGAGACCCAGAAGGCAGCTTTGAGCTATGAGAGAGCTGTTTCTATGCACACAGCTGCCAGGGAGATGGTTTACGTGGCAGAGCAGGGCCTGATGGCTGATGGGAAGAACACCCTGGATCCCACCTGGCAGGAGATGCTCAACCATGCTACCTCCAAGGTAATAAAAACAAACCTTACTGATTAGACGTTAGTGCCAACATCAGGATTCGGTTGTTTGATCAAGTACCAGTAAGAGAAGTTACCATTTAACAGAGGAAACCTTCAATACAAATTCAGAGCCAATGTAGGAGACGAGTGATGTGGACATTCAGGGTCTGACTCCGTTGACGTCTTCCTCTGTCCTTAATGACCTAACCTTTTTTGTGTCTGTATTAATGTCCCGCTGGTCTCGTCTGTCGCAGGTGAACGAAGCAGAGGAGGAGCGCCTCCGCAGTGAGCGGGAGCACATGCGCGTCACACACGCCTGTCAGGAGGCCGAGGCTCGAGTTCAGATGCTGCAAAAGTCCCTGAAGAGAGTCATCCTGAAATCCAAACCTTATTTTGAGCTCAAGGCTCAGTTCAACCACATACTGGAGGTAATGCAGACATGCAGGGCCCACGAGCACCACGGTACTCAGAAGATGATCTGTGCCGTGTGGCGAGTGCTGGACGCACACTCTGTTTCATGTCCTCACAAGAAACATTTGGTTCTGTCTGTGTAGTCAAGTTGTAAACAGGTCTGGATATCAGCGCTGATCGCCAGATGGTCCAGTCACAAAATCCTGGGTTGATTCATTTTTTAATGGCGCTATGATTCAGTTACATCAGATTAACACTTATGTTGCGTAAAACGCTTCTAAGAATTTCTGATAAGAGCTTTAGTTTTCTTCTTCGTCCGCAGAGGATTCACAGCGCGAGTATTTCACACATTTGTGACAAAAAATAGACGCGTGCTAACTGTAACACGGGAGCACGGGTGTGAAGAGCAAAACTCAACCCCAGCGTGGAATAAAGTCAGCAGGAAAAACCTGAAAAAAAAGTTTCAGCCTGCACAAAACCACATTTCCTGTTTGTGAAGAAAACAATTATTTTCTTGCTAAGTTGTAGAACAACTAAGACTCAAATGTGCAAATAAACAAAACTTCTAACGAGCATTATTCATATAACTTTAAAAAAACAAACAGTTCAGCTTGGTGTGGACTGTGGGCAGCGGAATCTGGGGGTCTCCTCACTAATCCACCCGTGTTGACGAGATATCAGTCTGATATCTGCAGACAGCTGCTCCACACACTGTTCAATCGACTTCCACAGATCATTTCTCCTCAACAAACAGAGATCAGATCAGCGTGCAGTCTTTTTTTAGTCCCTCTCATAGATTCGCCGTGTGATAGCTGGAGTCTGCTAACCACCCTGAGTCACGACAGTCCCATAGACGGCAGACTGTGATATAATATAATGTGACAGATTACTGTCGTGACTCAGCTGTCAGCCGCGTCAGGATTTAACTTTTTTGTGGACGTTGTAATATTTCAGTTTTTACAAATATGAAGCTCAAACTGAACAATTTAAAGAAGCTACTGCCGATGAACGTCCTGATTATTCCTTTTATTTACTGTCAAAATGTAAATATGCTGCTGAGTCGGCAAAACTGCTGTAATCTATCCTGTGTCCTATAGATTTACTAAAGTCGGTAGTTGTTGGTTTCTGTCTGGCGTTTAATCAATATTAAAATTGATGGTGATAGTTGCTGTGCCCTCTGTGTGACTCCAGGAGCACAAGGCCAAAGTGCTGCAGCTCGAGCAGCAAGTCGCCAAAGTGAAGACTCGCTACTCCATCGCCCTGAGAAACTTGGAGCAAATCAGCGAGCAGATCCACGCTCAGAGGGGGAGGGACCAGGTGGACGGAGGGCGCCCCACTATGTGCGGGGGGCGGAGTCCCCCTGTCGGAGCTGAGTCCGACATGAAAGAAGAAGAAGGTGGAGCCTGCGGCGGCGGCTCGTCCGGGAAAGATCTGGTGGAGAAATACAAGGAGAGTGAGAATGAGAGAGAGCGAGAGCGATCCGGATCTGATTCCCTCTCGGTCTTCAGTCTGCAGACCATCGCTTCCGACCTGGAGAAATACGACTCCATCGAGCACCTCGGGGACCTCAGCGATGTGGGCAGCGTAACTGGGGACGAGAGTGAGAAAGAGCGAGGCGCGGTGATGGACAGAAGAGAGAAGCTGATGGAGGCGGGCGCCAGGGAGCGACAGCAGCAGTTCTACAAGCAGCACCACCGCAGCTTCAGTTTGTGAGGCTGTGCAACAGATAACAACAACTCAACACAACATCCCTCACACATAGATCCCCCCAGAGTATGAGATAGCGAATTAGCTAACACTGGAGCGATGCGGTCATAGTTGTATGATACTTGGTGTTAATAAGCACACTCGCGATGACTGACAACACTTAATCCTAAAGCTGACATCGATCACGGTTAACGCTGCGGCCGAGCCAGAGCGTCCATCCCTCCAGGACACGTATCCTGCATATTCACTCCCTTCAAGGGATTCTGGGTAGAATTTGCTCCTGGAGCATAAAGGAACAACAGAGAAAGATCAAAAGACTGGAAAAAAAGAAAAATTCACGAAACCCTCCAGTGTTTCCCCTCCAGTCGCGTCGAGTCTAATCAGCGGTGGCCTCGAGGTAGAGGGTCACACGGTGTCCCGACACACGCCGAGGTCTGCGCTCGCATCCACCCTCGCTGAGCTAGTTTGCCGGGAAGAATGACAAAAACGATTCTGTCACCATAGAGTGAAAGCATGTTCCGAATCCACACTCCCTGTATTTATTTGCAACGTGCTGCAAGTCGTGCTTTTGTTCTTTTTCGGCACAAGAGAATGCGTTTTTTGAAAATTCCTGAAACGACGAATAAGAAACGGGTCGAGTCTGATGGAGACTGACTGTTTCCACTCCGACAGCATGCACTCCCTCTTATCAAAACAGACATGTATTCAGGGTATATATGCTGAAACTGACACAACTCAAGCTGAGATGATGAAGCTCCTCCACGGTTTCTTTATTTTTAAGTCTTAATGCTGTCGTCTCTCGATGCTACAAAGCCTTTCCCCCCAAATGTGTATTATTTGGATATTGTTTACATTTGACACAAATTCCACTTCCTGGTTTGCCTTGTCCTTTTTAAAAAAAAAAAAAAAAAAAAACTACCCTGGTTGTAATTTGTGCCTTGACACAGAACAAGTAACCGACTTAGCATGAGTCTTAGTTTGTCGTAAACTTATCCGTAGTTCTGTTTAGAACCATTTCACGAACAAGTGTTTGCCCTGTATTTTAAAAAAACTACTAATAATCGGACTCACCCAAGCACCGTTTCTGATGAGACTTGAAGAGCTATGATTTTATTTTTGGGATTGTTCATTTTAATTCCTGTGTTTTCTTCTTTTATGAAATTGTACTTTGATTGTCACAGTGCACGAGAGCAGCGAAGTCCAGGAACGACTTGTAAATGTATGTAAGTATTACAAAGCTTGAAGATATTGAAGATATCCTGTACAGGTGACGCGTGTTGCTGATTTGAATATTTGACATTTGTGTTGTTTTTTTTGCTGTACAGATGTTGTGGATAAATTTACCCACAGATAAATGTGTGTGTTTTAATCATTAACACCTCTCACCCTCACGTTTGTCTTAACGACTGGTCTTCTGCCTTTTATTAACAGCATTTCTGAACTAGTCAGAATGCCTCTCACCTGTTCCAGTTAATGCATTGTCATCCTCTATAATCAATAAAACAAATCATCCTCGTCTGCAGCTCCTGTCTCTCATATTTCAACATCTCGGAGGATTTACCGGACGTGATGGGACGTGTGCTTCTCTTTTATTCCTGGGACGGTGAGAGACGGCGAGGGGGTTCTGTCTTCCCCCAGCCTTCCCTCAATTATTCAGCAGATGTATAAATATGAAGCCTGGTGCTGATCTCAGAATAGATGGCACAGAAAAGACACAGGGAGATAAAAAGGAAAGAATGAAGTCGACGGGCTTGGATTCAATAGATGACCAGTGTAGTAGAAACGACTGATGGCTGCTTGGTTGACTTAAGCTCCAAGGGGCTTTGGAAAAGAGCTTAACAGTGTAGTCAGTGCTAACACCACAGCGCCATCTCTGCACCTCCACCCGTGTCGTCGTCCTGTCGTGAGATAATTATTCACAGTGGGATGAATCCACGCAGGCTTATCATGAATCCAAAGCCTCGTCTTAGGATTCATTATCATATACGTGTGTGTGTGTGTATTTTGCAGTTGCGGGTCTAGACCTTGTTTCATCTTGCGGGGTGGGGGGATAAATGCGTGAGAGAGGGACTGTTACGCACGGTGCGTCTCCATCATGACGTCGTGAATTAGCTCAAGATTGTAGGAGGAGGAGGGGGGAGAGAGGAAGGGAGAAGAGGAGGGGAGTGAATCGGTGTTTCGTCGCTCATGCGTTTGTATATAGTGCATGTATATTTTTTTCTACGGGATCTTGTTTTGGGTTTTTTGTGTCATTTCTTACCTTCGCCGTGCGTAATTGCAATACGTGGAGACGCGCCGAACGATTTCGCTTTTGTAACGTCCTGTTTACGCACGGAGCAGCTCGCACATCTATAGCCATATTAACACAGCCATAAAGAACAATAACTCAACAAGACACCGCTGCAAAGATGCACATTTCTACCAAATAATCCGGCACTGGGATTATTGTTGATATTCCCTGGCGGCTGCAACCCAGAGGACGGAGCGCTATCTTGACAGGGCGCATCGAAACTAATAGTAAGTACACATGCTACTGCTTTGCTTCGGGGAGCTGGATGATACTATTGCTGCGTTTATTCAGGGGATCGATCCATTCCAGTCGCAGGTGATGGACACAGATGCCAAAAGCCTCATTCACTCTGTATGCAGAGGCCATGCATTTTCGATGGGCACACACAGGCCACATTTGTTTTGAGTTCCCTCCTGCAAGAGCCACCATCATCCTCCATCTGCAGGAGGGGAGCGACGGCTGATGTTATCGTGGGAGGTTTTACGCGTTTTAAACCCACTGGAGCTTCTTCTGGCACATGACACGTTCATTCCAGACGCCGAAAGATGTGTTCATCATGTGCGGGGCTCCTGTTTTAACACGGTCGGCCTTCCTCTTCCTCGGCCACCGCGGATTCCCTCGTCAACAGCCGACAAGTAACTGCCGACAGCATACGGTTGGTGGCACCCTCACTGTGACCCCCACGTCTCGGTGGTTCATGCTCAGCCGTGCGCAAAAAAATGCACCATAAGTCTGGTAGTGGTGGTTGGTGTGTATGTGCGTGTGCACGGAGGGTTTCTGGTTCTGCAATGGACCCGGATCAACGCCTTTGGCTGCTTCCGGCGGTGTAGACACGCAGGAAGGCAGGTGTGTGTGTGTGCGTGCCGTGCGTGTGTGTGTGGAAGCACCGTGGGAAGCCTTGGTTGCGTCCCCGAGCTGGAGGCCAGTTGCCGGGGCCTTACCCCTCAGTGTCCCCGGTGCTTCTGCAGCCTCAGCACCGGTGGAGGGAGTCAGCTGGGCGGGAGCTGGTCAGGCTGTCTCACGCACACACACACGCGCGCACACACACAGTTTGCTTTCATACAACTCAGTGTGTGATCCCTGATATTAATGACTCCTGCTGGGCTGTCCTCCTCCCTCACCCCTTGTTTCCCCTCACCCTCTGCTGCCTCCCATCCCTCCATCCCTCCATCCCTCCATCCAACACAGGACAAGACACACACACACACACACACACACACACACACACTGGTGGTGTCTACCTCCTGCCTCCTGTCAGTGAACTCTAAAAATACACAGGATAATGCTAATGAAGTATCCAGCAGAGTTTGTCGGTCTTCCACAAACAAGCCTCGCTGCCATCTGTCTCCCTCACTGTGGTGATTTGCGTTGCTTTAGGACCC